GAAATTACGTTATTTTACATATTTTGGGTTCCTGACATTGTTTTCACAAATTTGCATTCTTTTCAGTCATCTTTTGGCCAATAGCAATGTCGTACGTGCGCATCAAACATAGGTATCTTTGCGCGTATATGTGCCGCTATATAGTGAAATTATGATAAAATCAGACCTATTTTTAATCAGTTATAGCTCCTTAGGTTGAAAGGTGACCCCCAATTTTTATTATATATTCTGAAAGCACATAAGTTGTAAATATGATTTCATAGATCATAATGGCTGATCGGACATTGTGACGTCATCATATTGGCATCTGAATTCAAAGAAAGTGATTTTTAGCTATGACGTCATTTTTGAAAATAGGCATTTGAGCGTATCTCTCTTATCTTTGATCGATCGTCTTCCAACTTTGAGTATGTTATAGCTGAGACAATTCTCTTTCATATATTTGACTTCATTTTAAATTTTGATGACGTCATCATGGTCAAAAAAATTGTTTTTTCTGACCCCCTCATTTCTCTTTCTTCAAAAGGTTGATGAGCCCATATAATCTTAACCATTCGTCATTTCTAAATCAAATTAGGTGAGCATAAGTTTCAGGTCGAGGTTGAATGTTATGTACCTTAATTTCCCGTTCGCGGTTTTTATCGTTCACGTACGCGTGCGTCAACATTTATATATGCATAAAACCATGAATATTTTTAATCAGTTATAGCTCCTTAGGATGAAAGGTGACCCCCAATTTTTATTACATAATCTGAAAGCACATGAGTTGTAGATACGATTTTTTACTTCATAATGGCTGATCGAACATTGTGACGTCACCATATTGCCATTTGAATTAAGAAAAAATTGAATTTTTATATATGACGTTATTACTTTTTATACTCGTTTGAACGTACTCGCTTATCTTGATTGATTGTCTCCCACCTGTGAGTATGTTATAGCTAAATCAATTCTCTTTCGGACGTGTCCCTTTTTTTTTTATTTTGATGATGTCATCGTGGTCAAAAAGAATGCTTTCTTTAGAGCTTTCTCATCTTTCTTTCTTAAAAGATGTAAACACATTGAAAATTGAGGGCGGCAGACTGTATTTCGACACTATCAGACCGATAGTTCGTATACTGTAAAGGCAAAATTCGTGTGGCATTTCCAACCAACTTGACAAGGTTTAAATTCATGTGCCATTACCGTCGTCAGGCACGTCGTTTAAGGTATTTGTACTTGTGCGTTAAAAT